GTCTATCTTGGCATCTAAAAGGGCTTTGTGTAACCTTCCCCACTGGATCAGTAAGGTACATTGTACAGCCTGGCACAGGGGGGACACAGGGAGGTGGAGTGACATGTTTCCAGGTACCTTGTCACTCAGTGTGAAAAGAAATGTGCAAATTTAATTCTGATCAGAATTCTAAACCATGAAAACTAACTACTTTTTGTACGTAGACTACTGACCTGAGGGCAGGAAGGAACTACTCTTGCAGCTGACACTGTATCCTGCTCTCTGATGTGTCTATAATTCAGCTGGTTATTTCTACACACTTACTTAAAAATCACCTGATTTCTCTTCCAATATTCTTCACCAAAAAAAATGTCAATTCTGCACATGTTTTTCGGAGGTTCTTTAATCCTATGCCAACATTTAATATACAAGATTTGTCAATTAGGACTTTAGCCTGTTCTTGCAATTTTCTGACACTGTCCCTCAACAGAGAACAAATATATCAGGTGTCCTACTTGAAAGTCAACAACTTGACACCACTGCATCTTGTGCTGCTCCTTATGGTGATGGACAACTAAGAATGGCTTAAAAATACAAAGCAAACAGCAAGAGTAAGTGGTTTCAAAATCAATACAAGAACGATCAAGTAGCAGAAGAGCACTTGTTATCTGTTCATCAAAATGATGTGAAAAGACATTTTGTGCATTCAGAATTTAATTTAGCTACTTGCTTTATCATCCTAAACACTCATTTCAATATGGACAATGATTATTTTTTTTCTTCCCAAACATGAATAATATATAATTGCTGGTATTTTGGAGGAGACAAGTTTTTTACCTTTATCCATCAGGGTAATTTATCATTGTCTTTTCTTTTTCTTCTGCAGTGGTGAGCGAGCTTGTCAGCTCAGCTTGTTCTTAAAAAGCAGGAGTGTAATTCAATAATAAATTCACTCAAAGGCTAGCTGTCACGAAGCATTCATTTATTTGTATCCATTAGGTGATCTGCACTGCTGTTCTCTCTAAAGAGTAGCGAAGCTGTGTTTCTGAAGCCCAAGAAATACTTTGCAGAGATCTTCAGTCATCTCCTTCACACTGCTGCCACTTCTGCATAGGCCATATAGGGATGCAAATGTGCTGTGGTTCCCCAGGGGTGACAGTCACCCAGTTATGACCTGGTAAAGCCCTGAGGAGTAGGCTGTGGTTCCTGACCTGAATGATGAGTGTGTGAGTACCACAGGTGTCTCTGTAGGACATCACACAAGCAGGACACAGAGGTCCACGGCACCTCTGTGTTACCTGCTTATTGGGGACTGCTTACAGCAAGTGGCATGGATCCAACTCCAACCATACTCCATCAGGATGATGGGGCTGGGACAGAAAGATGTAGGATGTCCCACGCCCAGCAATCTATAAACCTGGTTTGCACCAAGGAGACAACTTAATGAATCACAGCAGCAGCAGTGGAAAAGGAGAGGGTTGTCCTAAGGCAGGACGCTGGAGCCCTCTACCAGAACAAAAAGATTTTCTGCCTTTCCTCCTGCTAGACAAGCTATGGAGCCAGCAGCTAGAAGGAGAGATGAAAATGGTTCATCTTGTCCCTAGATGCTGCCATGATCCTCATGGAGACACTGAGAAGTTCCCCAGATAAGAGGGATATTATCACCTGTCTGTTGTAAAAGCAGCTCAAGATTCAACAGCGAGAATGCTACTGAAGGAAGCGCACATCTGCATGGGCAAACACAGCCTCATTTGTCCAGACTAATTGGGTCCCAGACAGTCCCAGCCCATGCTCCTCCATGGAGAAGTCACTGTCTGACCACTGCTGAAACACTGCCATTTCCAGGGTGACAAGAGACAGCCGTGTAAAGGTCCAGCTTTCTAGGTGGTGAGCACAGACAACTGAAACTACAAAGAGAAGCCAAGTAAGGAGAAAACACTTGCAACGGTTGAGTTTATCCAGTTCTATAGGATCTTTAAGAACTAACAGGAACGCGTGATGTCTTCCAACATCTCAAAAGAGTAATGGCATTTTTAGCAACCCAACAGACCGGTAAGCACAGACTGTGTGCTCTGGTGCTGTCTCAGGGGAAAATACACCTTCTGTTGAGGTTCTTCACTGTTATTTGCAGCCGCTCTTGTGATGAGTCAAGATATTTAACTAGAGAGATGCAATACAATCACAGCTTGAGGTGACATACCTGTAGACCGTATTTAGTGATATGCACCCTATGCTGATGTTTTAAGAATGGCAATCTCATAAATCATCACTGTCTCAGTATAATTCTTTGTGTTAACTTAAATGGAACAAGGAGCCTCGTTTATTAGTTCCACTGCAGTTAATGAAAAGCAATCATTAAACCCCTTCCTATTGATCTGAATCTTTGCATTCCCTCACTCTAGTAATCTATATGCCAGAGAAACATTTCTGCTACCAGGTGCTCCTTTTGAATTCCAAATTTTTCTTTAGCAGGATGTTTACAGATGGTTAGTAATTCCTTCCTACATAAAGATCTATCATCAGATCTATGAAATATATGTAACTCCTGTAGGAGTTTATGTGACACTAAATGACACAGACTTTCTGCTGGTCCTCTGCTGGCACCCCCAGAATCATAGAATCACAGAATGGTTTGGGTTGGAAGGGACCTTAAAGACCATCCAGTTCCAACCCCCCTGCCAGCAGCAGGGACACCTTCCACTAGACCAGGTTGCTCAAAGCCTCATCCAGCCTGGCCTTCAACACTTCCAGGGAGGAGCAGCCACACAGGGCAACCTGGGCCAGTGTCTCACCACCCTCACATTTCTTCCTCACATCTCATCTCAATCTATTCTTGTCCAGTTTATAACCATTGCCCCTTGTTTTGTCAGTCCCTGCCCTTGGCCAAAGTCCCTCCCCAGCCTTCCTGGAGCCCCTTCAGGTACTGGAAGGCCACTAGAAAGTCTCCCTGGAGCCTTTTCTTCTCCAGGCTGAACAGCCTCAACTCTCTCAGCCTGTCCTCGCAGCAGAGCTGCTCCAGCCTTGTGGCCTCCTCTGGACTCACTCCAGTAGGTCTATAACCTTCTTACTGATTTCACTGTATAAATGAGAAATTTCCATTATTTTCTCCACCTCCGTGTGCTGCTGAATGCAAGAAGCCTTTAAAGAGAAGTTGGAAGTTTGAGGGGTTTTTTTATCACACAGTTATGAAGACTGCTGTAGTTCTTTAGTTGTATGAAAAAGTTCACTAAACACGGACATGTGTCTACCAAAACTCTCTACTTATCAGAACAGATACACATGGACCTGATACCAGAGTCCTCTGTGGAAAGGCTTATGACTGTGAGCTTAGCTGAGGAACTGCAACCCTAAATATATGAGAAAAACAAAATTGTGAGTGTGATCTATTTTATATTCCGAAGTCTGATTTTACAGCAACAAATCATAACAACTGACAGCAGAGAATTCAATTCACTGTGCTAACATTTAGTTCAGAGTCAGGACTGTTCAGTGTCCAAAACATGAAATCTTCAGAATGCTGATGAAGTACAACAGTTTGTGACATAATGAGTGTGTTTGGCCTTAATCTGAATCACTGTTGTCAGCTTTTTTGGACTCTGAAGGGCTTGGCAGCAAGAGAAATCAGGAAAAATATCATATCAGGCCAACTCCCTGACACTGATGTGCTTCTAAATGGTTCATATCTGAGGTCAGCCTGTAGACCACCGGAGATGACAATGCACTGGAGGTGGTAGCCATGGGATGCTGGCAATGTCCACCCATGGAACAGCATTAGGTCAGACCCAGAAGGGCCTGAGTAGCCTGCTGAGGTGCAAGTGCTGAAACAAATACCTGCACAAACACGAGGGTTGTATATTTACAGTGTCAACCTATTCACTGGTGTGTGTGGGAAAGCTGAAAGTAAACAGTTAGCAACTGGGTGGAATTCAATAGAGTTCAAATCTAGGTGTTGAGAACCACCTCCTGGCTCAGGGTCACCATTTCTGAAAGGCAACATTCAGGGTAGACTCTGAATGATCTAAGAATCTGACACCCCAGGGTATGTGGTATGGTGGGATGACCTCCCCTGACAGCCAGGCACTTACTTAAACAAATGGCTGAGATGGAGTCACAGAAATGAACTTCACCAGTTCCTGTTTCTTGATGATGATTGCAGTGATAAAGAATGTCTCAGTATTAAAACCAATCTATATTCAACTTGCTTCTATACATTGGAAATCACTCTAATCACCCTCGCTAGACTGCAAGATACTCTTCAGTTCTTTAGAGACCTGTAATAGTCATACTACTGATTGTAAATATCATTCTAGCTTCCCTCTCATTTGGCTCTGTCAATGGCAGAAGTTCTGCCATTGGTGTTTACTAGTTACTTCTGGAAAATCACAGAATCACAGAATGGTTTGGGTTGGAAGGGACCTTAAAGAAAAGATCATCTAGTTCCAATCCCCCCTGCCATCAGCAGGGACACCTTCCACTAGACCAGGTTGCTCAAAGCCTCATCCAGCCTGGCCTTCAACCCTTCCAGTGAGGGGGCATCTACAACTTCCTTGGGCAACCTGTTCCAGTGTCTGACCACCCTCACAGTGAAGAACTTCTTCCTAATATCTCATCTAAACCTCCCCTCTTTCAGCTTAAACCCATTTCCCCTTGTTTTGTCATTAACTGGCCTTATGAAAAGTCCTTCCCCAGCTTTCTTGTAGGCCCCCTTCAGGTATTGGAAAGCCACTATAAGACAGTCACTTGAGCGGGAATGGTCCTGATTTCACTCCTTGAAATAAGAGAAGGCAGGAAAGATGCAACTGCCCATGTGTATTGAGAGAGAAGCATCTTGTCTTACTGCCTGGCAGGACATTGCAGATGAGGAGGCAGTCAGTAGAATTACATCAGTCACAAAATTCTTCAGCTACCTACTTAGGTTAGATAGTTTCCATGTTCTGCATTTTGCTGCCATTCCATGTCTTACCCATGGCCAAGTGGCTCATGCTTTATCTCTCACTGATTCAAAACCAAAATTCACTTACCCTCCTTCAAAGGGATTGTCTCCTGGGATGACGTGAGTGCTGTCCTTGCCAATCAAGAACTTGATCCGATCGTAGAACGAATGCAAACTCTGCTGGGAGATGGGGGCTTGTGTCTCCTGGATGATATCCAGAGGGTCTGGGGAGCCCAGGCACAGCGCATTGACGTGGCACAGAGGCTGCAAGCAGCAGTCTGGGTCCATGCAATCCACCAGGCCATCTGCAGAAGGGTAAGGAAGATTTTAGAGCGATGGTAACACGGAGTGTTGTAGACTTCAGAGTGCAAGAACTCTTTCCAATGCACACAACAGAGAGACATGCATAGACGAAGGCATATTCCCTTAAAGTCCCAATTAAGAACCTCAAATATGTATTAATACGTGTATATGTATGAAAATGTACACATACACATTAGATTAGAAGCTAAAAAAACCCCATGTTTGAGGTTGATTCTGGGTTATGCCATTTCACATCTCAGTCACTCAGATTAACTCCAGAGCCCCACATGGTGGGGTTTTTTCTGTCCATATACCAATGGCTCTTGTACATTGGTCCTGTTGCCTGTACAACCCACAGGCACATTGCATCACACCATCTACAGAGAGACCTATGCATGCCACCCACTAACGACTCTGGACAGATAGATGAGAAGGGAGATTTTGATGGGAAGGTTTGGTCTCTTTTGGCCTTTGTCATATTTATTCCATGCAGACACAGAGAAAGAGATGACCTCAAACTCTCAGGATATAAACCTTGTACTTTCAGCACCACTAAATTAGTAATAACAACAATGATAGCAGTGGACACATGAGAAAAGCTTGTCAAGCATACTCTAGTAAAATAAGGGTTTGTATATCTGTCAAGTCCTCACACACACAGATAAGTACAACTTCCCCTCCCACCACCATAACATCATTCCCCAGGTCATTTTGAGATGCCACTGTTCATTGCAAACAGCTTAGTAAAAAACGGTGACAGGAAAGGAAATATAAAAAAAAAGCTCAGAATGAGTTTGATGAAGCATCACATTTAGAAATCAAAGTTTTTAGCATGTAGTAGAGATGGATCTTTAAATCAGATAAGGGAACTGGATGTTTTTGTTCTGGAGTAATGGGATACGGATCCCTTCACTTCCAACTCATCAGTTTAAGCAAGGAACTTTGATAATGAATGAAAATTGTTACCATGTGATGGCTGTTCAAAGTTCTATGTGAAATGAGCAGGTCTCAGTGTGGTTGCTGGGAGCTCTATATGTCAGAGAAACCACCTTTACAGCTTGTATCCTACTAATGATTTCAGCACAGAGGCAAGAAATAGATGCATTTGGAGAACAAAACTGTCCTGAGAGGTAGATCTCTCCTGAAGTGGGATGAAATTTGGTGGAGCTGTCAGGATAATGTATTTTTTATTTCAAAGAAACAGTAAACTAAAACAAGACCATTTGTCATTATTACAGACTGTGACCTTCAGTTTCATCCCAGTTATACCAGTATGAATTAGAAGTTCTTTCACTAATGTTATTGGCATCACTTTGAATTTACTGTAATATAAACAGGAAAAGAATCTGATCTGCTATTATCACTGTAGTACTTACATGTCATGGACTTGGATTCTGTTGAGTTTGTGTTTAGGGCTACAAAAATTATCAGAGGGATGGAAAACCTCTCCTGTGAAGAAAGGTTGAGAGAGCTGGAGAAGTGAAGGCTTCAGGGAGACCTTATTGTGGCCTTTCAATACTTAAAGGGGACTTATGAGAAAGATGGGGACAGACTTTATCAGGGACTGTAGTGATAGGACAAGGGACAATGGTTTTAAACTAAAAGAGGGGAGATTCTGACTAGATATAAAGAAGAAATTTTTTACATTGAGGGTGGTTAAACACTGGCCCAGGTTTCTCAGTGAGGCAGTAGAAGCCCCATCCCTGGAAACATTTAAAGTCAGGTTGAACGGGGCACTAAGCAACCTGATCTGGTTGAAGATCATAAAATTATAGAATCACAGACTGGTTTGGGTTGGAAGGGACCTTAAAGATCATCCAGTTCCAACCCCCCTGCCATCAGCAGGGACACCTTCCACTAGAC